AAAAACCAAACACATTTTCACTAAAATTCTGGCAATAAAATCAGAAGTTCATGAAGCATGATTCTCATAAGGTCGGTTTCATGTTTGTTTACATTCTTTTAGGCTGTATATTTTGCAATATATTCACAATGTTTAGCTATTGTTTTCCAAAAGAGATAACATGTTTGTGTGTTTTGGGTCATAGCCATCATGAGATACAAGTTCAGATCTTCTTGTTCCTTTGAGAAATCCAAGAAAAGTGAAAGTGTTTACATTAACTCCAGGTGGGTCTGAATGCTTTCATTGGAAAAACATGCCTGCAAGCAAAAGGGAATTTGACAGTAGTAAGAAAAAGAGAACGGATTAACTGTGACATATTTATCCCTCCAGCAAGTACAGTACCCTTTATATTTAAACAAAAAGTTAACTCCAGCAGCAGCGGTAATGATTATATCAAAACCCAGTAATGATTATTTGGCAACACACTTTTACAGAAGAAGCTACCTGACAACACCATTGGTTTAGATTCTGATGAGGGCTCTCCTGTTTGCATCACAGCGTGGTGGAGAAGGAAAGGGAGGTAGAACCACACAGAAGGGGACCAAGCGTGTGGATTCTCCTGACTGTAACAACCTGCTCTTGTAAGAACTAACACTGTGAGACCAGCATTCATCCCTCCTGGTTGATGCTTCAGAGCATGATTGCCTTATAGTCGGCTCCACTTCTTAAAGTTTCCACCACAACACTGTTATTGTTGTATCAGGGTTTACAAGGGAAAAGACTTAATATAGGACTCATAATTTATAGGATTATTTTATAATATTCACCCAAAGAGTCAATTACAAAAGAGTGTGGGAGATCTGTCCACACACTGGAGACCCAAAGAATCTAGCTGAGGGTCTGGATCCCATGGCAATGTCCTGCACTAGTCCAAATGGAGGCCTAGAGACCATGACAATGTCTCATGCAAGTCTGTATCAAGGATCTGTACTGGGAAGGTCCAAAGGTCTGTGACAAAATGTTCAACATCATTAGTCATTCAAGAAATTCAAATTAAAACAACATTTAGATTCCATCTCACCCCAGTAAGAATGGCTAGCCTTAAGAAATCAACCAATAACAAATGCTGGTGAGGCTGTGGAGAAATAAGAACTCTTCACTGCTGGTGGGAATGCAGACTGGTGAAACCACTGTGGAAATCAGTTTGAAAATTCCTCAGAAAACTAGGTTTAGAGGTCCCACTCAGCCCAGCTATCCCCCTTCTGGGTATTTTCCCAGAAGATCTAAAAACATCATATCACAGCGATATATGTGCACCTATGTTCATGGGAGCACAATTTGTAATTGCTAAATTGTGGAAGCAACCTAAATGATCATCCACTGAGGATTGGACAAAAAAAATTATAGTACTTTTATATAATGGAATATTACTCAGCTATAAAGAAAGATAAACTCGAGGCTTTTACAGACAAATGGTCATAACTACAGACCATACTCATAAGTGAAATAAATCAGACATGCATGTGCAAGCACCGCATTGTCTCACTAATGTAAAACCTGAAAGAGTGAATAAAAACTAGGAGGTATGACAGACATTGTGAAATGATAGGAAAATGCTCAAGGGTAAAGGGCAATTGGGATGTGGGAAAAGAGAAGGGAAAGGAGAAATTTTGTATATATGTATATACAGGATAATTAACATAGTTGAACTACTGTCTTCTATTTCTTTGCTGAAAGAAACAATTAATGATTCCTTGATTGATCAATATTGCATGTCTCTATTTGTTTTCATGAGAAACCACTCTGAAGATATCAATATGTAATACACAAGCACTGTTAATTTCCTACCACTTTGTTTGTAACTCTGTATTGTTTGTATTGTTCTTTTGCTATTTTGTAAATGGTTGTCTGTTTGTTAATGTTTTCCTTCTTTTATTTTTAAAAGAAAAAAAGAAAACCTGCTTGAGTTCTCTCAAGAAGCCCCTGTGCAGGGCTGTGGGAACTGTTATGTGTCTGCATTTCAGAATCTTATAATGAACAGGTCATGCCTACTTCCCCAATCAGCTTTGTCACACCCTAGTCTCCTGTCTCAATGGGACTATCTGATCTTGGACTTTCAGCCTCCAAAACTGTGAGTTAAATAAATCTCTTCTTTATAAAGCATCCAAGTTCATGTATTTTGTCAAAGCAACATAAAATGGACTAAAGTGCTAACATTCAGGTAAGTATGTTCTAAGAACAGAGAATGCATGTACCCTTTCTGTCTCCTTCTCATTCTCCTTTGCTGGGCCTTCCTCTACCCCAGAGGTCTGGCTTATGCTCTTGGACCTGTCTCTCTCTCTCTCTCTCTCTCTCTCTCTCTCTCTCTCTCTCTCTCTCTCTCTCTCCCTCCCTCCCTCTGTCTCTCTCTCTGCCTCTCTCTCTCCCTTTCTCTCTGCAATCTCTTGCATACCTGTAGCCCCACTAATCATCCATATGCCAAAATCCCCACATTTACACATGTAGCGTAGACACTGTTCTCAGATCCAGACTGTGAAAATGCTCATTCCTTTTTATATTTGCTAGGCAATCTCAAACTCAACATGCTGTAAGTGGAATTCCTAATCTTTCGTAAGTTGGCACATACCTTCATAATTCACCTTCTTGCTCCTGCCATAAACATGGGGTTGTTGTTGTTGTGGATGTAACTGTGTGCCCCTAAAATTTGTATGCTGAAGCCCTAACCTACAGTATCTCAGAATGTAACTGAGCATGTGGAAATATGATCTTTTAAAAGGTAATTAAGTTATAACAAGCCTGCCAGAGTAGACCTCAGTTAAAGTATGACCACTGCCATTAAACAAAGGGATTATGACACAAAGAGACACGAAGGATAGGCTTGTGCCCAGATGGAAGACCATGCAAGGACATAGAGAAAAGCACCATTTGCTAACACCTTGATTGTGGACTCCCTGCCTCCAGCACTGTGAGAAAATAAATCTCTACTGTTTCACCCATTCTGTGCTGTTTTACTATAGCAGCCCTAGCAACTAATATACCTTTTCCACTTCATCCTTCATCAAGTCCTATCCACTCTCCTTCCTAGATCGCTCTATTTTTTCTATATGCCTTGTACCTACCCCAGTCCAAGCCCAGCCAAACCCGTTACAGACACCCACTGCAGCCTTCCAATGATCTGCTTCTGTTCTTGCTTCTCTACAACGCAGTCTCCAAAGGCAGATCAGAGCGATCCTTTTTAAATGAATATAGAGCCTTTGCTTTTTAGAGAAAGGAGTTCAACCGTTCCCCCTCTCTCAAGGAATAAAATAAAAATGCCTTAACTTGGCTAACAAAGCCCACAATGATTTAGCCTCTGCCAGCCCTCTGGTTTTATAGGGCATTACTCTAGCTCCTCACCTACCCTGCTCTGGGAAGAGCCACCTCTCTGGAAACAGAAACACCACACATTTTAACCTTGTGGAAAATTTTTCTTAGCCCTTCCTCTTCATCTGCATACTGATGCTCATGCATTCTTTCAATCTCAGCCTAAATGTCACTTCCCAAAAGGAAGCTTTCCCTGACCATCCATGTTAGGTTCACCTTTCTAAGTCCTGATAGAATGCTGTCCTGCTCTTTCTTAGCACTCATAAGTAAAATGAAGCAATTAGCACTCATAACTAAAATGAAACATGGTTGCTTTCAAGAAATACAGCTGAGGCCCCAAAGGAAGAAAATTTACTTTCCTAAAGGTCTGTCAGAGGAAGCTATGTTGTGAGTTCAGCTCCTACCAAGACCGTCAACAGAAAGGAGGAAAGTAGCCCTTCACTTCAAGACTAATGAGTGGAGCTTCTTAAGATTACTTCTAAGATCTGAGAGTCTCACAGACTCTCACCTGAGCAAACAGCACTCTTATACTGTGGAAGTAACTATTCTGTAACGTGCATGAGTCCTAGAATACAGATGTGAGGGAGCGAGGAACTGGTCACAAGGGAAAGAAGGGCCAAGGTCAAAATGACCAAGAGGAACACTGCCTTTGTAAAGGGAATGGCAACCAGATGGGCCTGAGAAGGATGCGGGGAGAAGTCCTCTGGAAACACCCACAATGTGAACCTGCCCACAATAAGAGAACGCTTTAACACCCGTCCTGCCCAGACAGTGAGGTGCCATCTTCCAACAAAAACATCTGATTCCTTTTTTGTGTGTTGCTACCCAGCAGTCAGAAACAGCGCAGTGAGAAATGTGGCAGGAAGGGATGAGCGGGAACAGCACAGGGTCTCTACCTGCACCAAAAATTCTCACCTACCTCTAGAACAACAGAAGAATCAATTCTTTCTTCTGAAGGTAAAGTATTGATTAATATATTGGGTTAAAATTGCTGAATTGAAAATAGAACACAGATTGCACATTTTATGTTATTGAGATAAGAATGAACACAGAACTAGAAGACCAGAAAAATGCTGCAACCTGCCCAAGTTTGCAGTAGAAGGACTCCCTTGGCAGGATTAAAGGACTACAAATGACAAAATAAAATGCCTCCTATGAGTATAAGTATGAGTCCTCCATGTTCTATGTCCTAGTCATAATGGTTCAGGTGACCAGCCATATAATCTTTATTAGGTGGAGGAGGAGCAGCTAGGAGGATCCTGGTGGAAGAACATAGCTATGTGGGTGTAGAGCCTCAAGGAGACTATAGTCAGTGAGTTATTGGCATAACATTCCCACGTGTTCTGCTTCCAACATGTCTGGGTGGTAGCACAGTGCAGACGGAGAAGCGTGGATTAGGTAACCAGCGTACCATGGAAGTGAAGAGGTAATAAAGCAGTCTTGGTTGTTATGTAGGCATTTTAACTAAAAGCCGAGAAAGCACCTCACTTGCCCCACCTAAACCCCAGCCCAGCCCTCTGCACTTCACAAGTACAGAGGAAAGCGGGAAAGACAAGCTCCCAGCAGCCTCCGAGTGACGCACGAGACACGCCCAGAAATACTTCTTACGCATGCGCGAGGGGCAGCACGCAGGCGCAGGGAGTAGTACGCAGGCGCAGGGAACAGCGCAGGGTTTGGCAGGTCCCGCGCATGCCCAGTACGCTGCGACCGCAGGCTAGGGGACAGCGCCGGGTCGCGCGGCTCCGGCAGGACAGCCGCCCTACGGAATGAGGGGCTGTAACCTGGCTGCTCCCTCTGCCTCGCTCCAGCGCCATGGAATGCCTGCGGATCCTGACTGGGCTCCTGCCCCGGAGAACCCTGTGCGCTCTGGCCTTGGGCCTCTGCCCCGTGGCTCGCCCTGTGGCCTCCTGCGGCCGCGCGACGCGCTTACTGGGAAGAAGCAGGGCTGCTCCGCTGTTCCTGCCCAGCCGGACCCTCGCGGCAGGTACGGCTCGCCCCGCCCCGCCTCGACCGCCGCTGCGACCAGCCCGTCCTTGGATGCCAGCCCGGGTGACCTGACCGCGCCCGCCGGTGCCGAGCCCGACCTTGCGCCGCGCCCTGCCGCGTCCGCCCGGGCAGCCCAGGCTGCTGCTGCGCTGCGCTTGCTGCAGGTCTCGAGATGCGTGGAACCGTTTACAGCGCGCGCGGTTCCTCAAGCTGCCTTGCGGGAGGTTGTTAAAATCAGAGCTTTCGTCCTTTGTCCTCATAATAGTTGTGAAGTCAGGATTGGAATGTTTTTATTGATGATGAGCTATTCATTTCTCTTCCCTGTATCGTGTCTCTTAGGAATACATTCATACAATTGTACAGTAACACAGGTGCAGGGTGGGGACGCACCTGCGAATGAGGCTGAAAATTTTGAGGCCACGTGGTGAGAGCCGCCCATAAAAAAGATTTGACTTTATCTTCTGCTAATTTTTGCGCAAACAGCGGGAGGGCTTGGACAGGAAAAAGGGAATCCTTAAGTTGCTAGGTTTTACCAAGGGGTGAAAGCAACATGGTGATAAAGGTTTTCACTGATGTCAGTGTAAGTATTGTTCAGAAACAATGTTCAGAAAAGTCTAGTCCTCCATCTCAAAAGTGTAGCGGTGTCTTCGAGTACTTTTTCGCAATTGGACGTAAAAGCTTCCCGAAGTAAGTTACCATCCGTCAGCATCTCCTTCCCCAAGCTGTCTTTCAGAAGTGAGTTCTTCCTTTGTTAATACTTGGGAGTGCACTTGTACAGGGTAGGGGAACTTCTTAGGATAAGCATTGAAACTCAGAATAGTAATCCTGGTGGCACTTATCTGATTTGTAACTATCAAATCTTGATGTATAGCTGTACCTAACTGTACCTAACCCTTACAAGATAGTATTATGTAAAAGGAAAACAAGGAACCTCAGATATTATCAGTTACCTCCGATATGGTGGGCTGTTCGTGTTGGTTGGCCCCCTGTAATTCCAGTATTCAGAAGGCTGAAGCAGGAGGATCAAGGCCAGCCTGAACTACCTAGCAATATCCTATCTCAAAAAAAAAAAATCTGAGTTATTATATGTAAATAGTGGGAAGGAATAAGAATAAAAAGTTCCAAAATCTCAGACCAACAAGAGCAGGGTAATTACTTTGGTTAAAAAATAATTAATGATAATTGTTAACGTATTTTACCATTCCTCTGATGTTCAGTATTTTGAAGTGTCCTTTGTCAGCCGTTATACTTCACAGCCAACTTTACCTCAGTCCAAACGTGTGTTTAAGATAGTCTTATTTTTTACTAAAAACTTGTCTTCATTCCAGTGGAATAGAGAGGATCAGAAATACTGCATGTAGAAAATAAAATCTGCAGGTTTCATAATTTATAAGTCAACAGATAATCCTGATAGTGAAGTGCTGAATACTCAGGTGGATATCTTATCGGTATAATTTCCATGAAGCCTTTTAAATTATGCAAAAAAACAGACTTTTGTTTAAATCTCGAAAGACTGTATTGTACATTTGTTCATTCAATTCTGGAATATAAATTAGAAAGGGGAAAAAGTTGATTGCCATAGACTTTTCTAGTGCCTTACCCTAAGTAATAATGCCTTATTACTTTAAAAAATCATTCCCTGTCAAATCTAACATAATTAGCTGCAAATATTTAAATTATGAAATAAGAGTGTTTCTTTTTTTTCCTGTAGAAAGGAGGAAGTGCTCCATGTGAAAACTAATTGTGTGATCACAAAGAATTCTCTAATTTTTTCTTCAGGTGAAGTGCACCAGTTTAGAACTCTTGATGTTTCTCAAGCAACTCTAGCTAGCGTAGCCCCGGTGTTTACTGTGGTGAGTATATGGTACATCTGATAACTTGCAGAAAGTATTTCCCATACTTATTAACAGCTGGACTATTGGCCAAGCTATTAATTACTTGTGTTTTATAGTGAATTATTTTGTCATGTTGTTTGTGGGTTGTGCCTAGCCAATGACTTGTGGTTTACAGTGATCTTGAAACTTTGCTAAAGACTGTGGAGCTCTTTGAATAAAAGAATAGCTTATTTAAGTCATTATTCATAGCTTCCTATGATTTCCCATTTAGAAGCCCTTAAAGATTGTTAGCCATAGCAGGGCTTGAACCTGTGGTCTACAAAATTTTATGGAGGAGTAT